ATTATTTTCTCCAAGATAGAAGTCAAAACTCTCAATACTTGTACAATACTTATACAATATTCTCAATACTTGTAAAATACTTGTACAATATTCTTCCCACTTGTACAATACTTGTACAATATTCAAAATTCTCAATACTTGTACAATAAAGTACTTCCAAGTGTAAAGCTTCCAGATTTGTAAACCTAGGACATTATTTTTAAAATACATTTTTCCTCAATAGTAGCAGAGATATAACAGTTCTGGAACCTCAAATAGCAGAACCAGATGCTGCATGGAGGATGGAACACAGCATTAGCCCAAAGCGCCAAGAAATTTTTAAAAAGCTTCCTTCAAAAGAAGCAATTCTTAACAATGCTACAAAAAGGATATATTTTTCCCCTTAAAAAATTTAACTACTCATTGCAATGATTTCTATTCAGTCTTTGGGGAACATAAGTTAACACTAAAGCAAACTGTCACAACATAACAAGCTCTGAAGTTCACACTATGAGCAAAAATTAAAAGTACAATTCTGTTAGGTGTAAAAGAATGTGTAAAAGAGCTCAGCTCTAATTACCACGTACCATTAGGACTATAGATGCTTATTCTCATTTATTTTTATTCCTATTTTAAAGATTTACAAACCAATAAAGATGCATCTGAAAACTGTTAACCACTCTGAGCAATGCAGACAGCACATAAATTTTAATAACTATCTCTTGAAAAAGTAGCAACCACTCGCCACACTCCTTTATAAGGATTTTGTTGACAATGATTGCTACCAATTAACAAAAACACTAAAAAGTTGCTTTCTTTTCTACCTCATTACTTTGTATATGTTTAGTCATCATTTCTAGAGTTGCAATGTACATGGATATTTTAATGAATAACTATGAACCCATACAACTATTAAGAGGTTACTGTTTCAATTGTAAAAAAATGTCCATCAATACCAAGTCACATTTTTTCTCTACTATAAAATTTTAAAGATTAAAATGAGAAATAATATACCATAGCATGTACATTAAAAAGCCAGAAGTCCAATTCAAATAAATTCCAATAATTATGACATATGAAATAATGTCTGAAAAAATATCATATTTGTTATAAAACTTATTTTTAAAACTTTTTATCAAAAACAATTAGGGTTAAAAATTAGAAACATAAACAAAAGCCTAAATAATTTAATAGGGAAATAAAATGGATAAATTGTACAACCACATAGGTTTATATCTCTTGACTCTGCCCCTTCCCCCTCAAATTTAGGATTTCATCTACAATGTGCTGCTCTTAAAAGACAATTTCAAAGGTCTTGCTTCTTCAATATATTCTACAGCCCTCTCACAGTAGAGATTTAACCTTTTTCACATTAGACTAGCTCACAGGCTACAAATGAGCTGATTCCAATAAATATTCTATTAACAATTCAAGATTTATAAAAGTCACAAAGAGAGGTTTAAAAAGATAAACTCTTAAAGAGAGGGTAGACATATGAGAAGCTTAGGAACCTTCCTACATCCTATTTAAGAATGAAAACAAAATCCCAGAATGAGTAAATAAACTGAAAATTAAATTTTATTTATTTAATTATGGAGAATATTGGTGGATATACTTATTAAGTAGCTAAAACAGCGTTTTTCCTTGAAAGTACAATACAAAAAGAAAGGATGGACTTGAGGAAAATTTTACTTTCTAGCTAGGCTTGATGGTTCATGCCAATAATCAAAGGAATCTGGGAGACCAATGTGGGTAGACTGCTTGAGCTCAGGAGTTTGAGACCAGCCTAAGCAAAAACAAGACCCCATCTCCACTAAGAATAGAAAAATTAGGCAGGTGTTGTGGCGGCTGCCTGCTAGTCCCAGCTACTCAGGAGGCTGAAGCAAGAGCATCACTTAAGCCCAAAAGTTTGAGCTTGCTGTGAGTTATGATGATGCCATAGCACTCCACCTAAGGCAACAGAGTGAGACACTGTTTCAAAAAAAATCTATCTGAAGCACAAAACTAACTAACACAAGCACTTATACTTTATAATTAAGATTTCCTCCATATGTAAGTGAAGGCAAAAAGCTGTTAAATGCTTGACATCAAAACTTTCTCCAGAGATCATCATTCACACTAATAAGATTGGAAAGGAAAAATACATGTAAGAATTAAAACAAAGTCTCTTAACAAAACAATTGTATCTACCTCAATGCTATGTGGAAAGAGATTCATAAAATGGCAGTGTTTCAATTTAAGAACAAAATTGAGCTTAAAAATTGAGTATTTTTAAGTGAAAACAGTTGATTAAAATAATGGTGAAAAGAAAAAAATAATAACAGTCTGCTCATAAAAAGGAGGGTGAAAGAAATCTAGACTAGTTAATTGTATGAGAACATTCGCTTCCAAAAACTGTAACAATCTCCAGCATGTAATACTTGAATCTTTAATGCTGATGGATCACCAGAAAAAGTAGGTGGTCATCTTGAAAACATCTCCAACATCTTCGTGTTTTCAAATCTGGTTGACTTTCAGACATAAAAGGCCATATATTATATGATTCCATTTATATGAAAAGTCCATAATATGCAAATCCATAGAAACAGAAAGTAGATTCATACTTGCCAGAGATTGGATGGAGGAGGAAATGGGGAGTGACTGCTAATAGGTACATGGTTTCTCTTAGGGGTGATGAAAATATTCTAAAAATATATAGTGGTGTAACTACACAACTCTGTGAATTTACTAAACTACTAGACTGTACATTTTCCAAGGGTGAATTTTACAGTGAGTAAATTATATCTCAAAAAACTGTTACAAAAAATTAAATTTCAATTTCAAATAACCTGACAGAATTCATAATATCATGCTATATTATGATAAACATCCTTCAGAGTGTTCCACCTGTTCCAAACATCTCTTTTGTACCTTGGCAAGGCGGCTCATCTGATCTTCTGAGAGAGTGCTGCTTGTTCTGCCAGGAGTTTTTGTGGGTTCTGATCCATCTGCTTCTACATTGGGCCAGACTTTTAAGTCATGCATCCCTTGGCGAAACATGCTAGGGAAAAAGAGAATGTTCAAAGTAGAAGTAAATTAATACAGTTCATTATAGGACACTTAAAATTCCTAAAAATAAAGAGAATTCTACACAAGGAAATGCATGTCTCTATTGCCAAGCTCTAAGCCCCGACTGGGATGTAAAGTAATTAACTAAGCAGCTAAAATCCATGTCACACAATTTCCCCATGCCATATTTTTTTCCTCCAAGCAGGTAGTATTACAACAGTAAAAAAGGAGAGATGGATCAGTAGTCAACATATCCACATCATCACACTGGTGGGTATCTGAAAAATAACAGATCAAAGTCTTATCCAATGGAAGAATGTCACATTTACAACGACTGAAATAAAAATCTAAAATAATTACACAATTATTTTTTTAAGTGACAATTTAGTAGACTCTAGAGTGAAACTTTTACTGAGTCTGAACCCCAGCTATGCTATAACCTACATGGCCTTGGATAAGTAAACTTAACTTCTCAGTACCTCAGTTTTCTCTTTTATAAAGTGAGATTTTAAAGAGTTCCTATATCTTGCAAGGTTACTGAAAAATCGAATAAATAAATCGATACAAGTAAAAAAGTGACTACCATATTGTAAGAATTCAGTAAATGTTAACTTTTATTAGCTTTTTCACTGTATAGGTTGATTTTTCTACTGTCTTCTTTTCCATAAAAGGAATTTTTCTAAAAATGAATACAATAATATGTTTATGTAAAAAAAAAAATTCCCATGTCTACAATCAGATATTTAGCAGGTATTCTAAATTCACCCTAAGCTTGGTTATCTTGCTTTAAAAAGCGAAAGAAAACAAGGTGTAACAATTAAGTTCATGAACTTATCATAGAAAAAACAATACATACACCTCATTGCTGAATACTACTACAGTCATCTTCAAAATACACCCCTTGGGAAGCTATGCACTGATGCCAGCTACTAGTCCACCCTTGTAAGCAATTTTGGAACTCTTTTTCTTTAAAGGCCAGAGTGGGTGAGTTCCCTCGGAACCATTTTTGTACACACCCTTTCTCATGCCAAGATATTCCCAACTGTGTCTTTGTCCATGCTCACTTGGTCTGCTATGCTGCTCACAGTCAGCCAATGATTTTGCCACACAACTCAACTAATTTTTGGAATGTTTTCATCAATTTTACTTGCTACTGGCTGCCCTGACCTCATTTCCTCAGTAACACTTTCTCTCCTATCAGAAAAATGTTTAAGCTATTGGTATACTGCCATTTTCTTCTTGACATTATCCCCATAAACGTGGACTAAAGTGTCCCTGCTTTCACTCCCACTCTTGCCAAGTTAACAAGAAATTTAATGTTTGTGGCTCAGCACCTGTAGCTCTGTGAGTACGGCGCTGGCCACATACACCGAAGCTGGCGGGTTTGAGCCCAGCCAGGCCTGCTAAACAACAATGACAACTACAATAAAAAAATCTAAGGCATTTTGTACACCTTTGCACTTGATAATTAAAAAAAATAAGATACGTGTTTGGATATATTGACACTTTTTCAATCTTTAAAAATTGCCTATTTAACTATAAAAGGTTTTCACAATTGCTTAAATTGTTATTATAACGTTACGGCCAATGGAAAGTGTCTTCATAGATTTTGCTGAGGAAATAAAGATGATTTTCCAGTAAAGATATATAGTAATGATGCCATAAACATTTACATTGGGAACTATAAAGGATAGTTACAAGCTCACAAGCTCATAAGATTAAGGACTATATCTGCTATAAGGTTTCCAAAGTTGGCAATAAAACAGGCAATTCCAGTTACCACATTTGTAAAAGCTTACATTACAGGCTCAATACAAAATACATTGACTGGCTATGAAGATCAAAATCCTCAATATTTATTTACCACACTAAATATCAAAATAAAAAGTTACATCAAGAAAATCGGGGGCAGCGCATATGGCTCAGGTGGTAGGGCACTGGCCTCATATACCAAGGGTGGCAAGTTCAAACCCAGCCCTGGCCAAACTGCAACAAAAAAATAGCAGGGCGTTGGGGCGGGTGCCTGTAGTCCCAGCTAGTCGGGAGGCTGAGGCAAAAGAATCGCCTAAGCCCAGGAGTTGGAGGTTGCTGTGAGCAGTGTGACGCCACAGCACTCTAC